CCGGTTCTCTCGGGTGTGATCTGGATCCACTCGATGCCCACGCCTTGGGGACCGTTGTCCTCGGGCTCCAGGACGTAGGGACAGCCCAGCTTGACCGAGTCGCCCTTGGCCAGGTACAGAACCTCGCGGCCTTTGCCGTTGATCCTGACGGCCACCAGGAGGGCTGGGGACACAACGGCACTGTCACCCCCCGAAACGGCACCCACAGCACCCCGAGTTCACCCAGAGCACCCCCCGGCCCCACAGCCACAGGCAACAGGGCACCCCAAAACCTCCTGACCCCACACCTGTGCCCCCAAACCCATCAGGAGCTCGTAACACCCTAAATTTGTGCCCCAAAACCTACCAGGGGCTCATCACACCCCAAATCTGTGCCCCCAAACCCACCGGGGTCAGGGGCTCATCACACCCCAAATCTGTGCCCCAAAACCTCCTGACCCCACACCTGTGGCCCCAAACCCACCGGGGGTTCATCAGACCCCAAATCTGTACCCCAAAACCTCCTGACCCCACACCTGTGCCCACAAACCTAGCGGGGGTTCATCAGACCCCAAATCTGTGCCCCAAAACCTCCTGACCTCACACCTGTGCCCACAAACCCACCGGGGGTTCATCAGACCCCAAATCTGTGCCCCAAACCTACCAGGAGCTCATCACACCCCAAATCTGTGTCCCCACATGCAGCAGGGCACAGGGACCCCAAAGCTGTGCCCCAAAACCTCCTGACCTCACACCTGTGGCCCCAAACCCACCGGGGGCACATCACACCCCAAATCTATGCCCCAAAACCTCCTGACCCCACACCTGTGCCCCCAAAACCCACCGGGGGCTCATCACACCCCAAATTTGTGCTGCTAAAACCTCCTGACCCCACACCTGCGGCCCCAAACCCACCGGGGGCACATCACACCCCAAATTTGTGCTGCCAAAACCTCCTGACCCCAAATCTGTGCCCCAAAACCTAGCAGGGGCTCATCACACCCCAAATCTATGCCCCAAAACCTCCTGACCCCACACCTGTGCCCCAAACCCACGGGGGGCTCATCACACCCCCAATCTGCACCCCAAAACCTACCAGGGGCTCATCACACCCCAAACCTGTGCCCCAAAACCTCCTGACCCCACATCTGCAGCCCCCAAACTCTGGGGTGTAGGGACAGGGTGCCACGGCACCCCAAACCTGTGCCAGGACAAACCCTGACCCCAATCTGCAGCACAGGGGTCCAGGTACCCCAAACTTGTACCCCAAAACCTCCTGACCCCACACTGGCAGCACAGGGATCCAGAACATCCCAAACCTGTACCCCAAAACATCCTGACCCCACACCTGCAGCAGCCCCTGACCCCACACCCGCGGTACCCCACTTTTGGGGCACAGGGATGCATCGCACCCCAAATCCGTGCCCTGCCACGCCCTGAACCCCAAACCTGCTGCTCCCGACCTGCAGAGGGCAGGGACACATCACATCCCAAAACTGTGTCCCCATAGACCTGACAGCACCCCCGACCCTACA